CCAAAACCCCAAAACCCCAAAACCCCAAAACCCCAAAACCCCTGATTCAGTAGGAACTTTGATAATAGGAATTAATATAAAAATGGAGTTTATAAAGAGCTTTATGCACTGATGCGGTGAAAAGCAGAGAAGTAGAAATATCCACCACACTTATGAAAATGGACTGAAGCAAAAGCTAAGATCTGCTGTTGATGGTGTATCCAGTATTAATAGCGAATAACACAATCATTGAAGGTCAATCAAAATATGAGCCAAATGCTATCAAAAATAATTTGGAGGAGATATACAAGCTTATCGATAAAAGTGATATTATTGATAGAGAAGAGACTAAAGAGAGCTATACAAAGCAAACCTCCCTTATTCCTTCACATAGGGATACTATTTCATATAGTAGGAATAGCTCTACGCTTGCTCCTCAGGAACCTATTGAACGTATGTCTTTTCAGCCACTTATGCAAGGCAAAAATAATCTTACTATGAGGAGTCTTTTTAGTACAAACTTACTAGATAGATATCCAGAGGTATTCAATCAGGAGAACCTGAATTCAAAGTTTTCAGACGTCTATGATATCCCAAATTTTCTCAAAAATGAATATGAGCAAGGAATCAAAATCAATAAAGAATATATCCTAGATCTTGTAGAGAAGCTGCAAGACACTGATGAGGATGAACAATGGGAAATATTCGAGAAGGATCAAGACAATTGCACCTGTTGGCTATCAAAAAGCGGCTCTCATCTTACTAGCAAGCTTCCTCTACTCCATTGAGAACTAAATTTCCCGAAGAAAATAGAAATTGAAAAAGTTCTTAAATCTGTTATGGATGTAGATTCCAGGTTGCAATGGGATACTGAAATCACCAAAATGTACTCTAACCAAATATTCCAGGACTCTAGTATAGTATACACAAAGTATAAGAATTATAAGCTATTGGGTGAAATGGATTCCGTTGATAAGCAACTATTCTTTGAAGCTGAATCTGAGTCTGGTGCTCCAATATCTGTATTATACTCAAGTTTTCTACCAAATAAAATAATCCCAAAAGTGCGAGGTCATAATAGACTTAAAATAATCTTCTCAGTGACAATATTTGAGAAGTTAGAAGATGGATCTACTTGAATGCAAAATTATTGCCAATTTGATGCTGGGCCAAGGCTCAGACTTCAATATTGAAGCCCAATGGTAATATTTTTACATTAAAACATCCTAACGTGTTTATAGATTCTTGAATTTTTAATGAAGAAACCTAGGAACTGGGGGAATAGGTTAAAGAAGTTCTGATCCAAAGAGTCTTCCAAGAGACGAGTGTTTAAAAAGAAGAAAACGAAAATACCTAATTTTTTATAACTATATTCACATTATTCCCTTAAAAATTTCAATTTTCTGTTTAAATCTAAACATCTCAGAAACTGCATGTTTTAACCTAACAGGTTATAACCTTCCACCAATGCATTAGTCTAAACCTCTAAAATCCAAGTTAGGTTTAACGTCTTTCTAACAGTTCTACCAAATGCCCGCTTTATTGTTTTCTTTCAATATTTCTCAAGCACAAAGGGGTTTTGGGGTTTTGGGGTTTTGGGGTTTTGGGG